ACCCCAAATCCTAAACCCCTGAATCCCAGACCTGGGGACGTGTCGTGCTGAGACAGCAGGATTTGGGTTGAAGCAGGGTTCTCTGTGTGTGCGTGTGTGTGTGTGTGTCTTATTTCTGGTTCGGAGCTTTGGGGCTTTTTTGGGGTTTAGGGTTGTTCGGGTTCAGGGTTTGAAGGGTTAGGGTTTAAGGTTGAGGATTTAGGATTTTAGATTTAGGGTCTAGGGCTTTCAGGGTTCTTTCAAGTGCATGGCAGGCTTAGATGCTCGGGTTGTGGGGTTCAGGTCTTTGGGGGTTTTGGGGCTCTGCAAGTTTGGGGGAGGAGCTTTGTGTGGGGAGTTTTTGGGTGCCAGGTACTGTTGATGATATAAATCCTGCACTACCTTAAAGCCACCTAAACTATGGGAATTAGGGTAGATTCCTCATTATGGCTAAAATGCAGGATTTGTATCATCAGCCGTATTTTCCAGGGTAGAGAGCTCAGCCTTCCGACTTAGGCCCTGGCCCGGGGCCATCTTCCTGGTTTCTACAGGAAGCCTTAAGGGAAACCGCCCGGCAAAAAACGGGAGCCCTTAGAAGCTTTAAAGGGTACCGTCATGGATACTACAACCCTAAACCCCTAAACCCTAAACCCCCCAAACCCTAAACCCTAAACCCCAACAGGAGCCCTCCGAGGAACCTTCAGATTTCCTTTCAAGGGCAGGGGTTTGGGGTTCCGGGGCGGAAGCCCCAGAGCTGAAGCTCTAGGTCCCTGCAGTCCGGTGGATCCCGCCCACCCCAAACCCAAACCCCCAAACCCTAAACCCTAAACCCCCAAACCCTAAACCCTAAACCCTAAACCCTACACCCAAAACCCCCCAAACCCTAAACCCTAAACCCCAAAACCCTAAACCCCAAGCCCCAAACCCCTAAGCCCAAAATCGCCTTGAACCCCGAAGCCGCTTGAGCACCGGAAGACGTCGGGAGGACGGCGCAATTCCCGTCCACGTGGGCCTGCGAGTGCGGGGACCTGGAGACCAAGATTTCACGAAGGTCTAGGGTTTAGGTTTTGGGGTTTTGGGGGTTTTGGGGGTTTAGGGGTTTAGGGTTTGGGGGTTTAGCGGTTTGGGGTTTGGGGGTTTAGGGGTTTTAGGGTTTTTAGGGGTTTAGGGGTTTTAGGGGTTTTAGGGTTTAGGGGTTTAGGGGTCGGAAATTTCGCGAGACTGGACCGGGTACCACAACGACAGTTCACGACATCAGGACCGCCGCGGACAGGTCGCAGCCGCGGCCCTCGGCGCGGTGCCGTCGCCGGCCGAGGACTGCGGGATAGGGCAGGAGCTGGCGTGGCAGTTGTCAGTGGACGACTTCCTGCGGGACAAGTCCAAGATTCTCGTAGTCTGTGCAGGCTGGGCCGGGCGAGTCTGGCAACGAGCATTTGGTGACCTGAGCGATGTGTGCTCTTGGAGGCAACGACTTGGACGGCTACGAGTGGACTTTGCCACGCCAGCTCCACGAAGCCGTGGAGGACATGCGCGATGCAGGAGCAAGACTCACGACCGACGACGAGGACCCATCTCTGAAGCGCACAGGCGTGTGCCGAAAAGGGCCTCACCCTCCACCTTCTGGACGTCGTGCCCGAGAGCGACATCCAGAAGGCACGTGAGGTGCAGGACCAGCAGAGTTTGAACGCAACGCATTGCGTGTGTGCAGGCTCGAGAGTCGGAGAGAGCGTGGTGGGACGACTGGGAGCAGGAGCGCGCGCGAGGTGGGAGGAGCAAACGGTGATGGAGCGATCCGCGCACCTTTCCTCTGCAGACCGTGCTTCCGGCGGAACCGCAGCGGGCGACGCGCGGTGATGCTGGCGACTTTGAAAAGGAAGCAACGTGCGGCATCAGGTGAATCTGGCAACAGGTGCTTGGGGTAATAGTAGCGATAGTGATAGTAGTAATGGTAGTAGTAGTCGTCGTCGTCGTCGTAGTAGTAGTAGTAGCAATAATAATAAGAGTGGTAGCAGTAGCAGTAGCAGTGGTAGTAGCAGTAGCAGTGGCAGTAGCAGTAGCAGTAGCAGTAGCAGTAGTAGTAGGAGTAGGAGTAGTAGTAGTAGTAGTAGTAGTAGTAGTCGTAGTATAATACAGTTGTAGCGACAGCGGGCTTTCATATGGGATTTCGGTGCATTGTGGGAACTTTGAGGGTGTGGG